TCAATGACATGAGACAAAGTATATGTGAACTGCTGTATGAAAAGTGGATTTACTCTGTAAATCTTCACCCAAATCCTAATTAAAAAAAAAAAAAAATTGATCGGGCTTTAAATTTTGTAATGAGAGTTTTGCTTGTTTGTTTGTTTGTTTTAAATATTTTTAAGGAGTGAAAAGACATCTGGAAATTAAGACTAATTGAAAGGCTAATTGTTAGTCTCAGAGCTGCAGCTCTGACTATGGAGGAAGACTTTGGGGAAAGTCATTCCCAGAGGTAATTAACATTTTGAATCATTCTCTTGAATTAGGCCTTATAAGAAATAGAGAAAAGAACATTTTTTACAAAAGACCCTGTGAAATCGCACATTTCAGTAAGCGAGAGACAGAAGCAGGACCAATGAAGACTGACTTCTACCAGCCTTCAATTTTGAGGGGTCGGACACTCTTTTGTATTAATAATTCACACAGCAATTCCTAAGTCAGTCTTTTTCATTTTGTCAGCTGCTCTCAATGAATCTCAAGAAGAGATAGAAAAATAAAGAAAACACAAGTCTTGGAAAATATAGGTAAGATTTTTTTTTCTTCTAACAGAAAGTTATCTACATAGAGGGTTCTTGAAAAGTTATAAAATTCAATCAAAGTTCTCTATTTTGAGCATCTTTAACATATTTTCAAGACACTACTCAACAATAAAGGAAGGATAAAATTATTAAGATGATGATAATAAGGTAATAAAGTGTATGTATTCATGACTATGAGACAGAGTAGATGGATATGAAATAAGAAATAGACAATCAAAAGTTTTATCATTTCAAAAGAGAGTGATTGGTTGTTATGTTTGAAAAACACATAGAGAGCTAGGGATGCTTTGAGATTGATGCCGATCCTCTAGGACTCCTCTAGGACCATGTGGTAAGGACCATGACAGTGCCTTTCAGGTCTGCCTTAAATGCACAGTTTTTCGTGTATAAAATGCATGTAATCTAATTCACAGTTGTCAAAAACTGCTATGATTTGATCTCCCTTAAATCTGGGTACCTCAGAGAGAAAAGTGATTATTATTATCCTTTAATCAGAAGGGAAAAACAAAGGCGATCCAGTATAAAAGCAGAGAGAAGTACTCAACTCTGAATCTGAGTTACATGATAATGATGATGATGAGCATAATCTTGTATTGCATAAGAGTAGACACACCTGTAATGATTACTCCAACAACTTTAATTTGTGCTCATGAGGAAACAGTCCCGTAATTGACTAAAAGTGAACATACCAGGTACAATTTTTCCACAAATAGCCAAGAGCACTGTGTTCAACAGGAGCTGTAGGCTCCAGGCATGACAGAGACCTTGAGCAGATGTCTCACTCAGACAAAGTTCCTAACGATTACCTCAGATACCATGTAAACCTAACCTAACCTCCAGTTAGGGGAACCATTGACATCTATGGCTTGATTTGTAGAAGCACTGAAAAACTCCTTTAATCAAAAATACCCCACATACCTGTCTCACACTAACAGTCCAGTGACCTGCTAGGTGCTTAAAACCACACCAGTGAAGATGCATCATTCAAATTCAATATTATTCACTCCATGTATCCATTTGAATTCTAACTCAGTGATGACCTCGTCTATGAATATTTAATTCTTCAGTAGGAGTGATAACGATGCTCAGCTTAACATACTTACTGGGAGTACTAACATAAGCTGTGGTGAAAGATGAAGTCTTGGTGAGATTAAAGGGAAGGGTTCTCTCCTGTACCCCCAATTCTGCCCCTTTCAGTCAACAAATGATTGAAATACCAAGGCAAAATAAAGCCTGAGAAATCCCCACTCTAAGCTTGAATACGAAAAAATTACCTGAGACTTCACTTCATCTCCTTTCAAATCAAATAGGTCTTGCTTTGTTCTCAGTAGATTTCTTTTATTGCATTATCTTCTCTTATCTCTGTCTCCCTATCATTGGTTTATATGGCTTTTCTAAGATGACAGAATGATTCTAGTCATGATAGAACTGACTCTTAGAATGATAGAGAAGACAGTGAAATCAGAAATTTCTCATTTCACAAATGAAGAAACAAGCCCTAGTATGTAAAATTATTTACTCAAGGTTATGGCACCATTCGTTTGAAACTACTGGGCACATGGGATCTCCCTGAGTCAAAGATCAAGTCAATGGCACCTAACAACAGCAGCAACAACACCAACACTGTCATCTAAGAGTCAGGATGGTGTAGTTCTGCTCCTCTTTCTAATAGAGCACACCAACCACATCCTGACTATAAAGAACTTCAGCTAGGAGAGCATAAACACGTGCACACAAAGATTCAAGTTTCAAATAGGAGAACCTTCTGAGGTCAACCTCATCCGATCTCTACTGCTTGTGGTCACTGCTGAATGTGATGTACGGTCATGCACATATTCAGAAGAGAAATTGTAGGCTTAGGTCTTGATTTCTGTGCCAAATAAGAGGTGAACTACTACAGATACACAAGTGTTATTAAGTCCTAAGAACAGACCAAGCAGTTGCCGCAGAGTTGATTTCAACTTATGGTGATCGCTTGTGTATCATAGTAGAACTGTGCTCCATAGGACCTTTTATTTTGTTTTTATTTTATTGATTTATTGATTTTATTGCTTTTGTTGTTTTTGTGAATATAAACAGCAAAATTACATTAAAATTTCTTTATGTACAGTCTGTTATATTGATTTCATTCTTAGGTTTGTGCAACCATTCTCGCTCTTTCTGACTGTTCCTCTTCCATTAATGCAAACTCACTGTCCCCTAAAATTGTTTTCTAATAAGCTGAGTTTCTGTTATCAGCTTCATCCCATAGTTCTTACAAGAGCATTATGCTCCAGACAGCTATACTACACTAATTAGGGGTTTCATTGCTGATGTTTTAATGGAGAGAGTCAGGACTTTCCTCCAAGGTACTTCTGAATGGACTTGCCTCTCCAACCTTTTCCTTAGCAGCTGCGCATGTTAACTGCTTGGACAACCCACAGACCACAGACAAAGAAGTTGTTTCAAAATCAGGTTTAGTGCATATACAGGAAACAAACAACAAACAAAAAAGAAAATATTTAAAAGCAAATGAATGAATTAAAAAAGAAAGAAAGAAAGAGAGATGCACTCTCAGCTTGATGGGTGATTAGGGGACTTCCTTACTCTCTGTGGACTTTGTTTTCCCATCTTAAATGATTGAGTGGACTCTTGTATGCAGGAAGATGGTCAGATACTGTGTTAGATTGGGTTCTCTAGAGAAACACACACACAAAAAAAAAAAAAAAAACAGCAAGGTATATATATATTTAGAGAGAGAGAGAGATTTATCTTAGGCAAATAGCTCACAAGTGTATAGAAGCCGACAAGTCCAAGCTGCAAAGTCCGTCTCTGTAGGAGGTGGGGCTTGCAGCCGCCTTTGTTTCCCGCAAGCACAGCGGAGCCGAGAGATTCAAGCTGGCTTGCAGTATATTGGTTGTTGTTTCCAATAAAAGATGAATCCGAGATCTCCAGGGGAGCGGTGAGCCGCTCACTCAAGGAAGTCTGTAGTTCAGAATGCCATTCTTCCATATTGTCCTTGGAATATCATTGCAAGCAGGCCCCTAGGGAAACTCCCCTTGGGCAGACTGGCCACTCAGAACTCAGTCATCTGATCCCATCATGGGAACAACCACCCAGAACTGGGGTCCAGCCAAGTTGACACACAGCTCCAACCATCACAGTTACATACACTTCAATATTTCTGACTATACATGCTTAGCAGCAGTAACTACTTATTTTCCATTTTCAAGTACTGTGATTATCCATTTTTTCTATAATAATTAAAATAATTGTTTCGGTCTTTTTGCTTTTTTCAGGAAATTTAATTACCTTTGCACCTGGCCTCCTGAATTGATTCCATGGGAAAAGTACACAATGTAACTACATTCGTTTTCCTGGGCCTTTCTCAGAACCCAAAGGTGGAAGACATTTTTATCGTGGTGTTTTCTTTCTTCTACACAGCGATTCTGCTGGGAAACCTTCTCATCATGCTGACTGTGCGCATGGGCAACCTTCTCAAGTCTCCCATGTATTTCTTTCTCAACTATTTGTCATTTGTGGACATCTGTTTCTCTTCAGTTACAGCTCCCAAGATGATTTTTGACCTGTTAGCCAAGAGTAAAACTATCTCCTATGTGGGGTGCATGTTGCAACTCTTTGGGGTGCATTTCTTTGGTTCCACTGAGATCTTCATTCTTATTATAATGGCCTATGATCGGTATGTGGCCATCTGTAAACCTCTCCACTATACGACCATCATGGACCAGGGCAGATGCAATAAAATGATGCTGGGCACCTGGGCAGGTGGGTTCTTGCACTCTGTTATCCAGATGGCTTTGGTGCGCCAGCTCCCCTTTTGTGGATCCAATGTGATTGATCACTACTTTTGTGATGTGCACCCTATGCTGAAACTGGCCTGCTCAGACACATATGTTGTTGGTGTTGTTGAAACAGCCAACAGTGGAACCGTCTCCCTGGGGGGCTTTATTATCTTGATGATCTCCTACACTGTCATCCTGGTGTCCCTGAGACAGCAGTCAGCAGAAGGCAGGCGCAAAGCTCTCTCCACTTGTGGTTCCCACATTGCTGTGGTCATCATCTTTTTTGGTCCCTGTATTTTCATGTACATGCGCCCTGATACTACGTTTGCTGAGGATAAGATGGTGGCTGTGTTTTATACCATTATCACCCCCATGTTAAATCCCATGATTTATACACTGAGAAATGCAGAAGTAAAAAATGCAATGAAGAAACTGTGGTGTAGAAAATTTTCCTGGGTTTCTAATGACAAGTAGTTCGAAGCCTTGATATTTTAAGCTAGGTGATTTTAATTTGTTCAGTCTTGGTTAAGAAATGTATAAAATAAAGGCAGTAATACTGAGCTTTCAGAGTTGTCGGGAGAAACTAATACTGATATCTCCGACCCATTATTGAACTTTTTTTTTTTTTTTAAGTTAAAGCCAATTTACTGTTCAGACCTATGATTGGTACAAATTAATCAGTCAATATCATATGATGTATGAAAAAAAAGACCACAAGAAATCTAGCCAGGATCCAAGGTAATATATCTTGATGTACAATCTCCCAAAACACAGATTATTGTGAAAACTAAACCTAGAAAGATTGGAATGGTAGAGGAAATGTATGCAGAATGAAAGAAAAAAAAAAGGGGGTAAAACACAAGCTTAAAAGACAAAAGCAATATTATTATCTTCTGGTCTTAGAGAAAAAAAGGCAAAAATAAATAAACAAATGCCTTGCCCATGTGAACTGATAATTTATCCATGTAATACCTTTTCCCTTGACTTTGGGATGCAAACTGGACTTTTTTTTTTTTTTTTTTTTTTTTTCCTGGTGAAACATCATTGATTATTTCTCTGCTATTGTTTCATTTTACTTTCCACAATTCTGATTATCATGCATATTATGTATATCCCTTATGCCTGTTTGTGGGTACAGTGTGTGTGTGTATGTGTGTGTACAAACATTTCTAACATTAAAGAATGTATATATTTTGTGCTTAAAAATGCTTGCTGATGTTGATGCAATCCCAGAAGTAAAGAGAGGAAAGATCTAACAGCAGGAAAACATGTGCATTAGCAGTTATAATCAGGAAGCTCTTGCCCTTGTTTTAGTTGTTAGATGCCATCAAGTTGATTCCAAATCATAGCCACCTTATGTACAACAGAACGAGACCTTGCCCTGTCCTGTGCTTCCTCACATTAATTGCTATGTTTGAGCCCATTGTTGCGTCCACTGTATCAATCCCTCTTGTTGAGGGTCTTCCCCTTTTTCTCTGACCTTCCTCTTTACCAAGTATGATATCCTACTCCAAGGACTGGCTCTTTCTGACAACACGACTAAAATAGGTGAGACAAAGTCTGGGCATTCTTGCTTACAAGGAGCATTCAGGCTGTACTTCCAGGATAGATTTGTTTGTTCTTCTGGCAGTTCATGTTATTTTCAGTATTCATTGCCAATGCCACAATTCAAAGACATCAATTTTTCTAGGTCTTCCTTCTTCATTGACCAGTTTTCACATGCATATGAGGCAGTTGAAAACACCATGGTTTGGGTCAGATGCACCTTAGTCTTCCAAGTGACATCTTCACTCTTGAACAGTTTAAAGAGGTCTTTTGCAGCGGAATTATCCAGTGCAATATGATATCTGATTTCTTGACTGCTGCGTCAATGGATGTTGAATGCAGAGCCAAGTAAAATGAAATTTTTTATAACTGCTCTTGTCCTGGGACCATGTAAATCCATAGTCATTGTCCCAGGTTGGACATATACTCAGTGGGGTCTGTAGGCTTCCATTTTCTCAACTTTAAAATGAAGAATAGATGAGTGCTTCTCAGCTTTGGCTAATTATTGGTATTGTC